CAAGGAACGAAAGAAACCTGGGTTAAGCCTGGGTGAGATCCAGACTGTTGGAAGAAATAGCCTTCTGGGTTCGGTTCCAAGTGGGGAAGAAAGACACCGGAAACACGGTGACTGCTTGGAAAGATGGTTTAGTGGTGGACAGGATCACATGGTTTGGGTGAAGAAAGAAGGGCTGATATATGCTGAGAGTGCAATTGTTTTATACCCTCTGTTGGGATTTGAATTGGAGCGTGTATTCTGATTGGTTGTCAGACTCCCATGGGGCCATGCAGGGGCAACTCTGTAGGCTGTCCTGAGTCCCAGGCTTGGTTGAGCCTTGCTGGATGATGATGATGTAATGAAAGGGCTTTGGGCAATTCCTATTATACAGTAGCTCTACTTGGAGTAGATCTTTGTTATGTAAAATAAACTGGCCTAGGCCAGAGTAATGGTCCAAGGTGCAGGGGCTGAGTTTCTGCCTCTCTGAGTTTCTACTTTTCTTTTCTATTCTACCTTTTTAATATATCCTAAAATATTTCATTTTCCTAGGAGAGGGGCGGGTTTTAACTTCCAACAATACGGACCGAAATTTGGTGGATTGCATGTTAGACCCCCCCCCCCCCCCCTTCTCTGGCAGTCTAATTCCTCTTGTAACGCTCTTAATACTCTGAGATATATTCCTGCTTAACTATCACTTTGAAATAGCCTCTTCAAAGGGTTTGAGCTCTTTTCTTCGCCCCCCCCCCCTTTTCTGCGTTTGCAAAAAGCAACTGTTTGATCTTGGGCGGAGGAGGGTTTGCGTAGCCTGTTTGGAAGCTTATGATGAGGGACTGGAGTGATCTTACACCTCCTCCAGCTCTTGCAGCTTTGTGCTTCTGCATAATTTGGTGGATCATCAGTTGCTTCTCAGCACTCCTGTTTTCTCACACAGCAGGCGAGAATTCCTCTTCGGCAGACAATATGGTTTTTTATGTGACCTTTTCATAAGGAATGTAGGCATTTACTCTTAGGGTCTGGTTGCTAGAAATGCCACATATCTAAAATACAAAATGATCCCACTTTTCTATATATTTCCATCTTTTTTTTTGTAAATTTTATTTGAGTTTTCACCAAAAAATACAAATAAAACATATTTTTTGAAAGTAGCGTAATCCCGGGTTACATTTCTTCGTACAGACACAAATTCAATTTCATGCTCATTTTCATATTCTATTCCATATCTTATTACTGTTTTACATTTTCTACATAGCTTCTCCCCTCTTTGAATTTTCTCAATTTTATTTTAATTATCTCATCTCAATTCAAATCATTATATTTATACTTTTTGTCTGTCCTGTTTCAATTATCTATTATCTTTTCTCATTAAACAAAGTTTCTCCTGTAGTTGCTGATTGGAGTATGACACCTTTATATCTTTTAAGTTTATCCATTTAACTCTTATTTAAGCTTCAATATATACCTTAAAGTTATAACATTCAATATAATACATAACTTCCATTCGGATTCTGCTTGGTACATTCTTAAAATACACACTATATTCTTAAAAAAAGAAAAAATTATAAATATATGTAATTAAAATAACACATTCCATTCCAATTCAATTCTATCATTAATGTTAATATTCATTAAAATCTTAATTTCTTTAACATTACTTTTCAATTAAATATCATGCTTCTATGGGAACAGTTATAAGCTTTCTATAATTAATTCCCCCCCCCCACTTATATTTTATAAAACATTAACTAATTAAAATGTTCCCATCCCTTCCTAATTCAATTTTCTCATTTATTTTATTTCACTTATTAACAAACATTTCACTAAATTACACGATTTTATCCCTCATTTTAATCAGACATTGTTTCCAATTTTCTAAAGTTATTTCTATTACTAATATAACAATACAATCTTATGTATCTTTACAGAATCCCTTTTTCAGTTACATTTTCACCCATTATCTCTAAATAGGCCCTGCTTCTCTATATCTTGTTTTGATCCTTTGTAACTTCTTTTCCTTTCCTTCTTCCCTCTCTTCTTCTCTCTCCCCTTTTTACCCCCTTGTCTCTCTACCTCTATTTCTCTCTTCTGCGTTCCCCTTTTCTGTTGCTTTCCAGTATTATACTTATTTTTTGAATTATTTTTCTTTTCTTTGGTTGTTTTTTTAAGTCTTAAATTCTCCATTTTCTTCCCCCCCCGCCTTTCCTTTTTCTTCCCCACATACAATTACTTGTTCATTAAAGATGGCTTCTTCTTTGTCCCAGTCTTCTTGTTTTGCAGACGTTTCTTGTTTCTCATAGTTCCAAATCTCCATTTCTAAGAATTGAAAAACGAAGCCAAAAGAACTCCTCCCTTCTTGTGCATCTTCTTTGTACTTTTTAAGTTCCATTTTCAATTCATCCAGAAGTAGTGCCATTGTATAAATTTTTAAACAATCACCCGATTAATTTTAGTCATTCAAATGCAATAACCAAGAATCCAAAGATCACCAAGTAATCCAAATACACGCAAGCTGTTTCTTTTTGCTCTTTTCTTTCACTTTCTCTTCCTGGGGTTCTACTGTTTACTTACAAAGTTTCAGTTAAAATGTATCTTTTAGAAGTCTTGTTGAAGTATTACTGTAGATTCCTTTTAATTCCAGGCAGTCTCCTCCCTCTTTTCAGCCCTTTTATTCTTTTTCTCTCCTTCCTGCTTATGAAAAAATTCTTAGTGTCCAGAAATCTTTGTTATGCCTTTGACATTTTGTTTTATTTTCAGCTTAATTGCCTGTTGATGTCAAAGCAGATTTTTCCGATTTCTTATTTAAGTCTCTTAGTTGTCAGTATAGGGAAAGGGAGAGAAGAAAAAAACCCCAAACCTTTCCCTTTTCACTTTCCTTCGCTTCTTCAGAGTCTTCTTTGGGAACGATGTTATTTTTTTGTAAGTTTAAATTCCAGGGTACCTTAGTTGTTGCTTTTGCAATTTAACCCAGTCAGCCAAAACTTTCACTTCTTATCTTCCTCCTGCACATTCTTTTCCGGTCGAGTTCTTCTTTGAGGTGGCCATTTCTGACCACCGCTCCAACCGCCTTCGGGAAAGGGAGAAATGGCCAGCTGAGGAGGAGAGATGCGGCTCTCCTCAACCCTGCTGGCAGTCTCCCCCCTCTTCACCACCTCTACAGGGTGGCTTAGCCCCGAAACCGGCTGGCTCGGGGCGCTCCAGCGGCAAGCCCAGACCGAAACCGCGCACGATCGCAGATTTCTGTCTATCGCCGAAGGAACTCAAACCGGAAGCCAACTATATATTGCCACCTTGTCTTGTCCTCTGTGGAATGCAGCTCCAGAATCACATTCTTTGCGAGGGAGATCTGTCTCGTGTCATGTGCAAAATCTGGAACTCATCCTTGTCTTCCACCTAGCTCTTCTATTCAAGGAACATAATGAGAGAATATTTGTAGCTCAGGGTTGACATGAGGGCTCCTTGGTGCTATCTGAGCTTGGTGGTTTTCTTGCAGACATTTCATGACCCAACTAGGTAACAACATCAGTGCTAGGAGTGGGGTTGGTGGAGAATAGGGGAAAGGGAAGGGAGGAGAGGAGGGGAAGGAGGAGAACTGAGGGGTTCTTGATGTTCTCTTGAGGTTGGTGGTTTTCTCGCAGATGTTTAATTACCAAACTAGGTAACACCATCAGTGCTATGATGTTACCTAGCTTGATAATGAAATGTTTGCAAGCTCAAAGAGCACCAAAGGGCTACAAAATAGATTTATCAGATCAATTTCCAGCAAAGGTGATTCTGGATCAAAACTAAACCAATAGAAATTGGATCCAGCAATTTTTGATGACTGTTATTCAGTGAATTGTGGTCATTAAATGAATATAGTTTTCTCCAATGAAAGAAGGAGTCTAGAAGGAGGGTTAAAATAGGTGTGAACTATCCTCTGGTTGTTTTGCCCCACAGCAATCAATTTCTCTAAAAGAAAGTTAGATTCTCTTTATTCAGGATTTTGGACTGTACAATACAGTTCACGAACACATAAGGTCAAAACTCCAGGTGAAACTAAACCAAAGCACAAAATAAAACAATACAGTATTTGTAATTTAATCAGCATGCCCGTATACAATATTAGATGGAGTCAGACTGAATTTAAATGAGAATATCAAGCAAAATCTTGAATGTTTTTATGGGACTTATCCCAAAATGATTTGAGCCCCACCTCCAATAATAAGGGCACAGATGTCATTTAAAACTTTTCTTGATGGATCAGTTTGGTGCGTTTGGAGAATCTCTATTAAAAAAAAGAAGCATATAGTGTCCATGGTGACTTCTTTTGATTTGTTTATTTCAGTGGATTTCCCCCCACCCTCCAAAAAATCTGGCTACTTTTACGACGGGTGGACTTCAATTCCCAGCATTCCTCAGCCAGCATACTTAAAAGCCCACATCTCTTAAAGCTCCTAGGTTTGCAAAACACCGATTTCTTTAATGACCCCGCTCCTGCAGGTTAAGCCCTAGATCAGTTTACATACAAAGGCACCAGTTCTCAAAAATGGGGGATGAACGCCGATCATTTCCATTTAATGCCCCCATAATCCCTTGCGAGGTGGAGTCTGGGCAACTGAATGGAGTTGAGTTGTTTACTGGCCTGGATGCCCTTCCTGTCACCAATGAGTTTTGTTCACTAGATATATTCTCAACATGCCCAGAGAGAGAAATATCTGTCTCTACCTATGATCGAACGCACAGCCAACTGTCAACTCATAGAACATTTTGTATACACGTTTTATAGTTGATAATAGAAAGAAAGGGGGGTGGAGTTTCAAAGTGCAGGTGGCAGTGTGGAATCGAAAGTACATTCCGTTCATATTTTCTTCAAAGACTGATTAGATGACTGAAGCTTCTGCCATGCAAAAATCTAATTGCAGAGCATGATTGATGAATCTTGGCTATGGAGGTGTTTCGTTGGATGATACACCCAGAGGGGTGGAGGGGAAAAACAGGATCAAGGGTGACAGTGAATCACGAATCTCAGAGTTGGCTACGTCCAGGCTAATGCCGGCATGTTAACTTTTAATAAATCCTTTGAAGTTTTGGGAGTGTAGCTCAAGGCTCATGATTTAATTGGAATAACTGCCGGAATCCTGACAGGCAAGAGCTAGTGGATGAGCACATATCCCTGGAGTTTATTCCCCCAAATAAATCCATTTGTCATCTCTCTCTGGCCAAGACAGAGACCAAATGTAGCAAAGGCTGCCCAGATTCACTGGGGTCTCCAGGGGCGCTTTTGACGTGATGTTGGAAGAGTCCTTCCGCGTCTGCAGGTTGGTCGGACACCGTGATTCTCCGTCGGAAATTCTGCCCCAGCAAGATGTAGATGAAAGGGTTAAGGCAGCTGTTGGCATAACCCAGGCTGATCGCCACATTGTAGGCGTAATAGAAGGGCAAGGTGGGCTCGATGGCCAGTTGGATGAGTTGTAGGACGTGGAACGGAGCCCAACACAAGAAGAAGGCCAGGCAGATGGCAATGGCGATGCGTGTCACCCGTTTGATCCGGAGCTGGGTGCCTCTTTGCCTGGTCAGGGCTTCAGAAGATCTGGCCATCTTCAGGAGGATTCTCTGGTAGGCCACTGTGATGACCACAAATGGGATGGCAAAAGCAAGGAAGAACTGGTAGAGGGTATACCAGTAGATGTCCCACCGAGGATCCGGTAGACGTATCCCGCACCCCAGGAGCTCTCCTGGCAAGGGAATGAGCTGGGCGTACATCCAGACTGGAGTGATACTGAGAAAGGAGAGGGCCCAGAGCAGGCATATGACCATGATGGCCAGAGAAGGTTTCCTGAAGCGTGTGGAGGAGAAAGGATAGACGGTAGCCAAGTAGCGGTCAATGGACATGGCGGTGAGGATGTAAGTGCTGGTGAACTGGCTGTTGGCATCCAAGGCGGTAATGATGGTGCACATGGTCCCTCCGAATTTCCAGCTTCCTTGGCCCAACAGCTGGTGGATGAGGAAAGGCATCCCCAGAAGGAACAGGAGGTCCACCAAGGAAAGGTTGACGATGAAGATATCAGGTACGGTGCTGCTGGGGCTGGATTTCTTGAAGACGGCACAGATCACCAGGCTGTTGCCAATGATGCCCACCAGACAGATGATACCGAAGAGGGTGGACATGATGATGGTCGAATAACTCATGGAGCCGAGGTCGCCTATGAAGAAAAGAGAGAGGAAGAAAGAGGGTACTTGAAGTGCCATGTCTTGTTCAAGAATCCTCAGCTAAAGAAGAAACTGGGTCACCAGAGCTTGAGGTGACTAATAATTACCTCAGATCAGATTCCTGGAACTTTGGAGCTACAATTCCATGTCCAGGACACCTCAAGAGAGAAAGCACCATGGAGGACAGAAGGAAAGGGGAAACCTTTAACTATATTTAAGAGTGTGAATAAGGTTCTGAAACAAAGATCTCCAAACTTGGCAACGTTATGACTTGTGGACTTCAACTCCCAAAATGGCTGACTGAGGAAGAGGACGCCTATGCCCAAGTAAGCCTTAACTCAAGAGATCCACCTCCTTCTTAGTTACCTTCTTAGTTATGAGCTCTGGTGGCGCAGTGGTTAGAGTGCAGTACTGCAGGCTACTGCTGCCTGGTGGCTGCCTGCAATTTGGCAATTCAAATCTCACCAGGCTCAAGGTTGACTAAGCCTTCCATCCTTCCGAGGTGGGTAAAACGAGGACCCAAATTGTTGGGGGCAATAGGGTTAGGTTAACCACGGTATATCATGCTGTGTAAACCTAGCTAGAAAGGTGTGCAAAGAATAGAATAGAATTCTTTATTGGCCAAGTGTGAACACACAAGGAATTTGTCTTGGTGCAAATGTTTTCGGTGTACATAAAATAAAAGATACAAAGGCAGACTAACTTTGAAGAAAGCCCATCTGGTCACTAAGATGGTTAACGGAACCTTCTGGACACAATCAGAAGTGTGGATTGAATTTGGATAGAATGCTAAGCCATGGCTTGCTTCTCATGGTTAAGCATGCTTCCTGAACTGTTCAATCATGGCTAGATTTAGACAACGCACTAAGGGGAAAACCACGTTATGGCTTCAGGTAAAGTGTTGAAGTGATGTATTTTAGCAAACCTGGACCAGAAAGGAGATGTGCGCAGAATCTCCTGGTTCATTTCAGATCCATTACAATAGTGTTTTTCAACTTTGCCAACTCTTAAGAGTTGTGGACTTCGATTCTCAGAATTCCCTAGCCACTGAAGGTTGAAAAACACCGCATTACATTGTATTAGCTGATTTCTATACTGATCCTTACAAGAAGAGTATAAACTTTAAGGAATTATGAGCAAAACGTGCAGCGTTTTCTAATTATTAGCTCAAGAATTCTAGGAGTTCATAGGTCTTAAAAATTGGGCATAGTCCTCCATCCCCCCCAGACAATATATACTAATTTAGAGTAGAGCTCTGAAGAGTCCCACTGATTTCAAGATACTTAAATCCAAGCACCTCTTTGAAGCCAAACTCCATAGCTGCTACCTTTTGGTCTAAAAGAGCTTTCTGTGCATGCCCAGAAACTCTTTTCCATCTTCTTTGAAGAGCTCACTCCATCAGGTTGACTTCTTTTGATGCTTGGAAAGATCCGGTGCTTTCAATCGAGGGATCGTCTTGAATTCAGTTGCACCAACCGCCCAGATCAAAGGGCTAAGCAGAATAATTTTGTAATAGCCAGACGGGGCGTCCAATTCTTCTCATTACAAGGAGAAGCAAGCATTATCTTGGTTAGGTTTGAGAAATGCAGATGAAACAGAAACCAAATCAATCAGAATAGGCAAACCTCATTAACAAAGGGGAAAGCCAAAAATTACCTCAGCTGGATAGGTGAAATCTTTCATCCCCTAATTTTGCCTTTAATATACAAACACACAGAGCCACAATAATATCTTGGGCATTTAACAATACGAAAATGAACAAAATCTGTGCAGCCAAAGGGAATCCCCTGCGGCCAATCGAAATATGAAAATGCACAACCTCTTGAGACATTTCCCTGGCTGGCTATGAAATATTTCCTCGCTAGTTTCTGCCTTCCTCTCCCCCTCATCCTCTTCCTCCAGGTTTAAAAATCAGAGAAAGTTTAGGATCAACACCATCCTGTTTTTCTTTCCTGATTTTCCCTGCATTTTTCTTTTTCTCTTTGCTTCAGCTTACCATTGGGAGGGAAGGCTCGTCCCAGCTCGGATCTGTTTAGAGCAGAATTGGAATCGTTGGAGGTCTGGTTGGTTTGGAAATCCATTCTTGGAGGGAACGTGTAGGAAAGCAATTAGATCCCCGGGGCTGGTGGGAAAGAGGGTAAGGTGGGATCACATGGAGATGGGATTCCCCAGGAGACGCTCGCTCTCTCTCTCTCTCTCTCATGCCTTCCACATTTCCTGATTCTTCGA